TGTGTGTGTGTGTGTGTGTGTGTGTGTGTGTGTGTGTGTGTGTGTGTGTGTGTGTGTGTGTGTATTCTACACACATGCATGTGTCTGAATAAGAGGGAAGGTTGAAAAGTGAAGCTGCGACTAGTGGCTCGAGAGAGGTGAAAAAGAGTGCAGGCAGGGTGGAGTGGCTGAAGAGGAATGTCCAGAAATCTGGAGACAAAGTTTAAGAAGCAAAGATGGTTTTACATGTGCAGAGGAGGGATAGTGGATATGGTGGACAAATGATGGTGAAGGCAAAGAGAAGAAGACCACAGGGAAGGTTAAAAGATGCAGTGAAGGAGGACAGAAGAGGATTTAAGACATGATGGAGGCAGATGAGCTGCTGTGGTGACTCATAAAAGGAGCAACTGATCAAAGAGGAAGTGCTTGTATTCTACGAGTTGATGATTAACCTTTGACATTAAAGTGCAAATAAACCGAGGTTTACCATCTCAGAAAACAATGGGTGCTGGCAAAAGCTTAATTTATTTTAGAGTAAAGTCCATCAGGTGACTGTATCATATACACGTCTGTGTCTGTGATCTGCAGACTTTAGCAGGGACACATTAGCAGGGAGTGATGAAGCCACAGCATAGCCTCCTGAGCTCTCTCTGTGTGTTGGGCGATCGTGGCTCAAGAGTTGGGAGTTCGCCTTGTAATCGGAAGGTTGCAAGTTCGAGCCCTGGCTTGGACAGTCTCAGTCGTTGTGTCCTTGGGCAAGACACTTCACCCTTTGCCTACTGGTGGCGCCAGTGTCCGGCAGCCTTGCCTCTGTCAGTGCGCCCCAGGGCTACAATGTAGCTTGCCATCACCAGTGTGTGAATGTGTGGAGGACAGGTTGTGTGAAGTGCTATACAAATACAGGCCATTGACCATTTTGCTGCTGTAAAACCTCAATCACTGCACATGTTTCTGTCACCTATGCTCTCCCAGTTTGCACAGTGCCCCCTGGCCCCATACCAGTGTCAGAAAACAACACCGCTGACGTCCAGGTGGCCAAAATCAGCTCCAACAGTGATGTGACTCTGACAGTGACGGTGAACCCTGAAGATTTATTCTACCTGAAAGGAAACGCCCTCATGGTAAAGAAAGGCCTGGACTATGAGGTGATGTATGGAACACAAATAATGTATATAAGAGATATGTGATCAGTTTTTGGAATTGGATATTAGAATGTGGTATGCAGAAAGTTTATAAAGTGTTTTCAGGACTACCTAGGTCACAGGTGTCGAACTCCAGGCATTGACGGCCGGTGTCCTGCAGGTTTTAGATGTGTCCTTGATCCAACACAGCAGATTCAAATGGCTAAATGACACCCTCAGCATGTCTTGAAGTTCCAGAGGCCTGGTAATGAACTAATCATTTGATTCAGGTGTATTGACCCAGGGTGAGATCTAAACCCTGCAGGACACCGACCCTCGAGGCCTGGAGTTCAACCCTGACCTAGGTTATATGAGCATGTACTGTAATGATATCATTATGAACATTTATTTGTATTATTTTACAGCTAATAATATTTCAGAATATTCCTGCAGTAGGCGCGTCCCATGTATCTGTTTTTGTTTCTTTATTAGTCATTGCCCAGCGCGACTCTGATGGTGTGGATAAAGTGCAGCAGAGCTGGCTCTAGATCTGTGAGTAAGAGTCATCACATTAAAAACAGACAGAAGTCAGCAAAGGAACAGAGTCTGGGGGAAATGAATCTGAAAGTCAGGACATCAGGTCACCTGTACACGCCTAATGCCAACATTATGTTCTCATGTAAGGGACTCCACCTGTCAGGGTTCTTCAGCTCCAGAGCTGCACCGGCTCTTTTTGCCCCATCACCAGTCTTGACTTTGGCAAGAAAAACTAGATGAATATAAAAATGGAAATGAACAATTTTTTTTTACTTTTTAAAAATGTTTATCATTGCTGTAAGTAATGACTTGTGTCTATAAATGTAAAAATTATATTGTATTATTATATAACAAGTTAAACAGAAAATGCGTGTCACACTCTAAATCTGTCTCCTAGTTTGACTCCGCCCACAGAGCATGTTTATAAGGCTTGAGTGCTGTTGTGTCGTTGTGTTGTTAGGAGCAGTGCCTCGATGTGTTGTTGTGTTCTCACTGTTTGACTGAAGCTGAGCTGCTTCTCTCTCCTCAAGGTGAACGAGTCCGTCGAGGTTTTGGTTGAAAACGTGAACGATAACCCCCCAAACTTTGCTCAGAACCACTATGTGCTGGATGTGAATGAGGTGGGCTGCACTGCTCTTTCATGCTTGTAGAACAACATGTGTTTGTGTTTCCTCTTTGAACCATTTTATGTCCTGCAGCTCATTCCGGTCAACTCCAGTATTGGTCTGATAGAAGCCACAGATGTTGATTCACAGCCGCTGTATTATCGCTTGGAGACAACAACAGTAAGACAAGACAAACTATGTCCAAATGACTATGATGAAGTTCGGACGCATTTAGACAAATGAATGGAATACATGCATCTGCTATTTGTTTACATCACACTGATCTGTGAGGCCCAGGCTCCACATGAATCAACTTCTCTTGGACAAAATTATGTCTATGACTAAAGCTTCATTATTAACAACGGGAAGAAAAGTGTAAAGGTTCCCTCAATTGCTAACCTCTGATGGACCTTTGAGAATAGCCTTTGTTCAGGCTTCAGGCCACAAAATCCAAGTGAGATCAGCTGATCTGTCTCTGTCGGTTTTCCTCAGGACAAGTATTTCCGCTTGGAAAACGTCAATACTCCAAAGATTCTTGTGAAAACCATCCTGGACTACGATGTTGTACAAAAGATCTCGCTGGTCTTACACGTGCAGGTACAGTAATGACTTATGAAAACATCCTGCAAGGCTCTGCTTTTTCTGTAAAAGCCAGTCTGAAGTCTGCTTCTTACAGGATACGTTCAACGGTTCAGCTTCCAACAAGCCCTTCTTCACCTCTGTGGCCACCATCACAGTGCGTGTGAAGGATGTGGACAACCGGCCCCCGTGGTTTCAGCCATGCACGAGGACAAACTTAGGAAATGCTAAACTGTGTGTGAGCAGCGGCTACAGAGGCAAAGTCAACCTCACAGAGAAACAGGTGGGGTCTGACTCTGGCGTTTACATCACAGCAAGAAAAGAAATGCGCTTCACCTGAACAGGAAGTCGCTCACATGGCTGACATCTCTGGGCCTTATTTTAATTATGCAAGAGCCATCGTGCTATTCTAGCTCATATAGAAAAAAGGTTAAAAACCTTATTATACAGGGGAAGTTCATATTTGATATGATGTCATGAAAACACATTTATCATCTAAAAAACTGGTTTTCTGTATAAAACATATTCTTTATTTAACCAAGTACAGTTTTACGACTATATGAAATGTATACCAGTCTGTGCTACTTTGGACAAAGAGTGTGCACATCCAGGCAAACACTGTTACTTTAGCTGCTACACAGAAAAATCAAATACACAGGAAACAGGACAAAGTGTCTTAAGTCTGTACGCTGCACAGACATTTGAGGGTCACAATAACCTTCATGCTGTTTTAAATACATTTGTTATCTGGGGAGTGAATAATGTAAATGATTAAACATTTTCAGAAATGTTTCCATCGAGGCTCTGAGGGTTCGTTCTGATGTTCATCACTGCAGCGGCAGCAGTCTGTCACACAGTTTCTATGAAATAAGAACTATCAGCTTCGAGCTGCTTTATTTGACAGACCATGGCAGGTGTGCACTTCTGTGCTGGGCACCAAAACACCACACAGGTGTGCAAAGAAAATTTCAGGGTAATAAAATTATCATCAGAGCAGTGCTTGCATGTGTTGGTGATCATAGTGATCCTAAGATACCAGCATCATGACATCTCAGCCTTTCAGGGAAACCTCAGCACTGGTTTATCTGTGAGGGAGGACACTTGCTCAGGTTCCACTGTAGGGCCAAACATTACAGGCTAAAACCTGCAACGAGATCCAATGACATGGGGACGATGCAAATTTTGGTGATTTTTACATGTTGTGTTTGCCAGTATTTATTCAGTGATAGCAATATTAACGGTAATGACTTGTGAAATCAATCAGTGTGGAGGACACACGATGGCCCCGCCCCTCCCTGAGCCTGGTTCTGCTGGAGGTTTCTTCCTGTTAAAAGGGAGTTTTTCCTTCCCACTGTTGCCAAAGTGCTGCTCATAGGGGGTCATATGATTGTTGGGTTTTTCTCTGTATCTATGAAGCGCCTTGAGGTGACTTTTGTTGTGATCTGGCGCTATATAAATAAAATTGAATTGAATTGAATTGAAATGAATACATACTGATTTTCACCTTCAGGAAGGCCCGCTGGTGCTGGAACCTGGACCTGTGTTTGCCAAGGATGGAGACAAGAACAAGAGCGAGCAGATCAGCTACAGAATATTACGAGGTCGGATAAAAAACCTTTGGAGGACCCGAGTTTTACACTCAACAGTTTCAGTTTGGTGTGCTTATTAAACTGATTATCACATATAGACAGACAGTCTTACACGCCTCTCTGCAGCTTCTCTCCTCCTGCTACCCCCCCAAAACCCATCTCCATAGAGACTGTGTCAGCTTCCAAACAGACAAAAAACAAACTAAAAACCAGCAACAAACAACTTAAACATAAACAATCACAAAGAAAGAACAATACAGCATCCACATCTGAACCAAAGAGTAAAACAGTGAAATGTGGATTATTAAACTTAATAATTGATTAACAAATCAATTTACTCTGCCTTACAGAAACCTGGTTGCAGCAGGATGATTATGTTAGTTTAAATGAATCAACACCCCCGAGTCATTCTAACTACCAGAAACCTCGAAGCACAGGCCGAGGGGGCGGTGTGGCAGCAATTTTTCACACCAGCCTATTAATCAACCAAAGACCCAGACAGACTTTTAATTCATTTGAAAGCCTGATGCTTAGCCTTGTGTAAAACTCAGAAACCAGTCTTACTTGGTATCATCTGTATGTATTATTGTAGGGTCTACCTTACAATATAAAGAGCCTTGAGGTGACTGTTGTTGTGATTTGGCGCTGTATGAATAAAATTGAATTGAATTGAACTGATAGAAGTTTGAAGGCTCTACTACTAAAAGTAGTTATCAAAATGCTTTTAATCCTTTCCATTTATTTTTAATTGTTCATCTAATCGTGTGATATAAGAAGCTCAGAAGAAAAAAACAAGTAAATCATCGTTACCTGGTGCCATTTAGAGGCTAGCAACGACCAAGTGATTGCACCCACTTTGCAATCACTGCTGCTTAGTTTGTTTTTGTACATGCTCTCATGGCACCATTCTGTTAATGAGGTTGAATTTCAATAAGTCAGATTCAGGTCGTGGTTAAATAATAAAGTAAGCTTATTCTGCTGGTTTGTAGGGCAGCATAAAGAAAATGCTCTTATTTGTCTTTATGTGTTTTTTTCCTTTATCTGTAGGAAACGAAGGAAATATATTTCAGATTGATGAAGAAACGGGGAACATCACAATGACCAAAGCTGCTGATATTGTTGGTCCAATAACTCTCACTATCCTGGTAAAACAAATATTATATACATTTGTCAAATAATATAAAGAAAATACAGATTTTCAGGAATTAGATATTTGGTTTTACTATCAGGCATCACAGGTGACCAACAGAGATCAGTTTGCGGTGACACAGGTTACCATTGATGTGATGAAGAAGAGCAGGAGTCCTCCTCGTTTTGAAAGGGAGCGATATGAAGGATTTATCTACAGCAACTCTGTGCCTGAGACCATGATCCTCCGAGACCGAAACACCAACCGACCCTTCAGGGTCCGAGCACGGGACGAAGACTTCGCCAGTGTGAGCGCTCTTTGAAATCAAAGCTAAATATTATGGTATATGTTATAAGCCTAACCCTGACGTTTGGCTGGTTCGACAGCTTGTAGCTACAATAAGCAAAACCATTAGTAACACCCTACTGAGTTAACTGAAAAGGTCAGCTATGGATGCTGCTGATTTACACATGGAAGGGTTGTAGAGACCGACCGACTGTCAGGTACACGTGCTACGAGGAAATCATTTGTTTTGGCATTTTGCTGGTCTGGGCCATTCAGGTGGATGCTAACCCAAAGTGCCGGTAATTTCATCCCAAGCATAAAGCGTGTAATAATAATAGAACAGCTATATATTAGACTACAGTCTAGGTCATGTAACAGGACAACAGAATGGCTGAACATGGAAGAATCGAGGTGTTGCAGTGCCACATTCCAGGCCGGACTTTTAGCTGATTGGAATTCAGCAGGACCTTAAGAGCACTGTGTGAAATTAAAGCCTCAGTGACCTGAAACAACAAGTAGAGAAAAGTGGGGCAAAATTCCTCCACAACCATGTCAGAGCCTGATAAAGTCATACAGAGAAGAATAACTTAAAGTTCTTGCTCTTATTTAACCCTGGCTGAAAGAACCGCTTACAGGAAGAACATACTAAATCTGTTTCTAGTGTAGTAGATTATACAGATTTAAATGTACAGGAGTACTAGAGTACTTGTAAAAATGTGCAGGTGTTTATTTTGCATGCCGGAGCTAATGATGATTAACCCCTGTACAGTTAAAAAGGTACGCGATCACAATTACGTTTATTGTGCAACCTGTTGCTGGTCATTATTTTCTACCTCCTGCTGGTTAGAAATCACTTAAAGCAGCTTTAAATGCACAACTAATGCTAAACTAACAAGATAAAATCTTTGTTTGTCAGGGTGTGAATCCAGATGTCAAATACGAGGTTCAGTACAGCAGCTACGTCAATGTGACCTCTGATGGTTTCGTGATACTGAAAAGAGTTGTGAAGACAGAGTCCTTCGCTCTTCAGGTGACTTTTTAAAACGTCATGGCACAATGAGAGCAAAGACTTCCTGGTTCTTGACACTTTGTAAGCTGTTAAACTTTTACTGTCTGCAGCTCCGAGCAGTGGATGTGACAACAGGGGAGTTTGGAACTGCAGCCCTCTCAGTTCAGGTCATACCTGGTGAGACTTCGGACTGGAAAAACTTTCACCTTATTTCTCCTGTTTCTAATTTCATGTCATATCAGTAAAAATGAAATCACTAAAAACATTACTAAATCTTTATAAAAAAACAACAGTTTTTATACTAATGATTTCAAATGAACCTAAAATATGATATATTATTACCTCTCAAGGAGGGAACACAAAACAGTTTATTCTTCAAAATTAAAGGGCTTGCTGTTATTCTTTATTTGTAATATTGTAAAACAAAGTCAAATGTAAGCCAGAAATATTACTTCATACTGAGGCTGGGAGCCCATTTGGTTCCTCCTGAACATTTCAGTGAAATTCAAAATGGGCACTGTGTTAATTGTTCATTTTTAATCAAAGTTAAAGGAAATCATAGCTTTAATAATAATCATTCCTTTAACCTTAAGTCCTTTGCTTTTCTTCCTGTGCAGATTTAGCCAGCCCATCTCCCTCAAACATCGGCTATCGTCCAGGTGACATGGCGCTTCTGGGCTTGATCATGGCAGCTCTGCTGATCCTTTGCCTGATTGTTATTGGCTTCTTAGTTTCCCACTTGTGGAAGGGAAATACGGGTGTGGACAAACTATGTGAGGTTAGTCGGTTTGGCAATGGAAATATTTTAAACCGGTGAAAAGATGATAAGTTTACAAATCTTTAATCCTTCCTCACTGCTTTCCATCTTGGACATCATGTAAATGAGTGTAACAGACAATATCAGGCTTTCAGTCTTTCCTTCTTTCTGATCTCACAGCACACATCATACAAATGATTTATTGTTTTCTAAAGTAAACAAAGTGTCAAAGTTAACATTTGCAGTATACATATACTGTAAAAAATGTCCCTTAGCAAGAATCAACCTTGACAACAAGCTTTGGGTATAATTTTCATCAGATATTTAACTGTCAGGTGGAGTGGTTACTATAGGAGCTGATTTTTAAAAAAGTCCAAATACATTTCAAAGGCTTGTGATGTGAGTTTCAAGTAAGTTTCAACAGATGGTTTGAGGCTATGCTGATGAATTGTGTGCTAGTCCACCTAAAATATACCAGTTCTACTGACAGCAAACTGGCCTCAGAGCCCGATGCTGCCTTCACCATGTTTAACAGTTGTTACAGTTTTCTTTGCATTGCAGGTCTCTCCTTTCCTAATTGCAGTAAAACAACTCTATTTTCCCTCTAAAACATATTTTCTTTGTCAGTGTAGTCAGTTACAAACTTTAGTCAAGATTGAAGATGTTGAAGCAGGATCTTCTTTCTTGGATGGCAGTGTCTCAGTCAATGATAAGGTAAAAAACAGTTGGTGTAGCCAGTGTAGGTCCTATGACTTAGTGGCTTCTGGGTTTTTTATAATGATTTGAACCAACTGCTTCTCAGATGAGAGTGAGTTTGGTTTTCAGACATTAGCAAACTGGCTGACTCATTAACCACCCGTACAGTCGTTTCAACTGAATATGTAGTTTCTCATAAAATACCAGGATTTCATTCAGCAAAACTGAAACACAAACATTTTGGATAATTTGTTACTGTGACAAAGAAAGAATTTGGCTCAGCCTGAAACTAAGCTTTTAAAAGTGGTAACATTGTTACTGCACATTACACTATTAAAGTAAATAGTGGTTATTTTTGTACATATGTAATATAATAACATGGAATTCATTATTGGAGACTAGATAAACTGCATTTCTGCTTGGCCGACTTATTCATAGATCAAGTGAAAGCCTTCGAAGCCTTTATTGGCTATATGATAAAGTATAAATAGACACCTCCATTGTTTAGACTTCAGAGACAGACTGAAGGTAGTGCATTGGCAGTACCTCATGCATTAACTGCTTTATTAATGAGGAACCTCTCTCCTGACTGTAGTGCCTGAGCCCATGTTTGCAGTCCGGCCAGCCCCGAAGTGGCCACAGAGACTCCCTGCAGTACACCAATGATGGCTTCCAGAATGAGGGGGACCTGAGCCGTCGGGGAGCCAGACGCTGGAACAATGTTCTCCCCAGAAGGAGCACCTTCCCCCAGGCCCGGGGCCGCGTCATACCCCTAGAGAGGCGGAGCCACCACTGTTCTTCATGTGGCATCTATACTAACCACATCCCTAAGGGGAGTCCCTCAGTGAGACCCTCCAGGAGGGGCAGAGAAGATGAGGATGAATATAGTGCAAGGTCAATCCTGACCAAGCAGCGGAGGAAGGAGGGCCAGAAGACTGTGTGGTTCAAGGAGAGTGAAGATTCGTCAGACATTGAGGTGGAGATCATCCCAGACACTGTGGGCCGGGTGGAGGAGGAGACAGAGGAGGAGCTGGAGGGGGAGGTAGAGATGGAAAGTGTTGTCAGAGACCCGGCAGCCCCTTTAAGAGAGGCTGATGATGGGCAGGAGACCAACGAACAGTACCCAGAGAACGCTAGTTCAGAAAAACAGGAAGGAAGCCAGGAGCGGGAGCACTGACAGTAGAGGTCAGAGGTCAAACTGGAGTCTGAAAGGACTGAGCAGTATGCTGTTTGCTTTCCTGGATGCCTACAGTCAAAGTCTCAGCAGTGGACAATGGCACGCTTAACATCTGTGGACTACTGCCCAACCTCAAAGAACTGACTCAAGCATCCAGAAGTATTTGTCTTCTACTGTGAGTATACTACACTACAGTTCCAGCGGAATTAACTGGACACCAAACATACACTTGGAACCAGTGTGGGCCAAGTATTAAAGATGAGATAAGGTCTTCCAATAACACTAACACATTTTTGGTTAATAATTGTGCCCATTAGACTATTACAGTCCCCATTACAGGAATTGTAGAGATCACAGTGCCAGCATGACCTCAAGTCCAGCGGGGCAAAAAACACGAGCAGTCAGTGTTTCACTAGGCGAGGTTGAGATCCGATGCTTTACAGTCTGTGCGGTGTGTAACAGTTTGCATATAAATGTAGCAACACAGCACCGAACAGGTGATCAAAGAGCAACGTTTTCCCCTTCTAAACGTTGGAAAGGTTTTTAAGGAAACCTTTCCAACGTTTACCTGAGAAATTAATTTCTTTTTTAAAGACATCATCATTAAAAAAAACATCAGACCCTCTTTGGACTCATAGAAACCTCCTATATGGACCCGCCAATCCAAATAATCTGTTCTGACTCTTTGAGTTTCTTGCCCCACTGAACTTTTGTGAGGGAACACCACCTCCACAGGCCAAAAACTTCAGTTTTCAAACTGTTAACTAAGCTTATCACAAAAAAGACACATTTTTGTTTTCAAATGTATTTGTTGTAAAGTAAATCTTATACCTTTAGAAAGCCTGTTTATTTCCTAACAAATGGTGCCATATTTGTTAGGAAACTGCTTCTGTGAGTTGTGCAGCAGATTTGAGTTTACTGGGTGCACTCAAGAAAAACTTGCCAAATCCTCTCTCCCAATGCCAAACAGCCTTTTCTATTATTGACTCTTGTTTTGAGCTTCTGCTGCCCTAGGTGCTCAGTTGGTGGTGATCTGCAGCACCATGGACCCGGCTGCCAGGGTCAGTTAGTGTCACTTAAGCCACATTTGACTGATCTGAATAGGACCCATACCATAGGGCAACTTCAATCTGGTGTTCCGCAAAACCAAGCTGCAGCATTATTTTGAGTAAGTCCAAGTACAATCTCCAAATTGAAGGCCAAGTTCCATATAACAGGGGATGTCAAAGAAAAGCTGCTATGTGTGCGTTCCAAGAAGACGACACCGCAAGAAAACTGTTTCCTCGCCCTGTCAGCACGTAGGAAGTGGTCTTCTACAGAAATGCATCTCCTGCTGCATAGGGCTTTAATATCTGCTCTTCACCATCAGACCTATTCGAGTTGACTTTGGCAACTTGTGCACTGGAACCTGAAGATGTAGAGTTATATTCAGCAGTGAGTCCAGATTCTTCCTATAACACTTAGGTCGAAGTGTGCATGGAGAATGCTATGCTGACTGCTTTTGGTGGAGGCGTTGTTATGTTGTGGGGCGGTATTATCCTCACTGGAAAAATGTCATCATTGGATGCAGAGATATCGAGATGAGATCCTGAAACAGCTGGCATTCCCTTATCTCCACAGCCAAGTAGCTAACTCTGTCCTCCGAGATCACAGAGAGACTGCCTCCAGAATTTGAGTGGATTTGTTGAGGATGGCCTGCCTGCAGTCCTGACTTCAACCCCACTGAACACTTGTGAGATCAACTTGTTTTTCATGCTGAAAAACAATTTGACATTGGCTGACTTGCAACAAATGTAACTTGAAGAATGCGATCTCATCCCACAGCAGTGGGTGACCAAGCTAATGACCCACATGAGAAGGAAGTGACCGGCTGTTGTGGTTGTGTATGGTGCTTCCACATGTTACTGAGGCTTCCTAAATTGCAAATATGTCTTGTCTCTTCACACTTCAGTCATCCAATTCGATACACAACATCAAACATCAGTCAGCAGAATAATTTGTTTGGCATTGGAAGAGAAGATTTAGCAAGTTTTTCATGGGCACAACCCACATACTGAACTCTGCTGCTCAACCCACAAATGCACTTTCTGTATAAATGTGGCAACAAATAAACAGGCTTTCAGGTGGTATAAGATTCACTTCAGGTTATATTGTCATTAGCATTAGAAATCATGGTACAAACTACAAAAGCAAATCACAAAGTATTACTAATAAACCATTTTCATTATCGTAAAGTGACTGACTCCACTTTCTAAAAGGCACCATTTATACAGAGGTATAAGTGGTAGTCAACAAACCCTTTTATGTCATTGGTAATTCATTCTGTCTTCATTGACTGAATTCATATTGAATCCATCAGCAACTATAAGTTTGAATGTATAATCATTATCATAAAACAGACCATTCATTTTGCAGCTATAGAAGCTTTGATGGCGTTAGAGCTACAAAACTAAAATGCATTCATTCTAGTTTTGGGCTAAGTCCAGTTAATTCTCGGCTGCGGCTCTTTGACATCTTACCTTGCAATATAAACGTGACGCAGCATGGGAGACACTGGCCGAAACCTCCGACTGAGACAACAACAGTCAAGCAATGACACAATCAAGAACAACTGAACATTCCAACATTCACTGTCTGCAAATATCTCTCAAAGCTACATCTGTAAAATGTAATTTATCAAGTAGTTTCTCATGCATAAACTGCAAATAAAGAGCTCATCTTCCATCATTGTCCCAGCAAACCTCTTGGATGTGGGAGGGAGATCCCATCGACACTATCATTTATGTCAGACAGCCAGAAAAACCTCCCCCGCTGGTGATGCTAGCAGCTTTTCTGTCTTTGGGCTGTAACGGGGTGTGGATTGTGGTCGATTCACAGCTTCTTGTAGCCTACAAATGAATACCATTTGCATTAGTGATGGGATTTCCGGCTCTTTTTAGAGAACCGGCTCTTTCGGTTCGGCTCACTAAAAAGAGCCGGCACTTTCGGCTCTGAACCGGCTCTTCAGGTTGTTTTGTTGCTTTAATTAATTTATTATTAACAATAATATAAAATTATGCACAAAAGGAATTACTAATGTAAAAACAAAGTGGTTTTACTTATATATGTTTATATATAAATATTTACGGTGGCCCCTAGAGACAAAACGCGTACAAACTCCAAAACACATTTCTAGCATGAACTGAACTTCGAAAACAGAGCTACCAGATCACTTAAATTACACAATTGAAAGCATATGTGTATTGTTTGTGTATTTATACACAAGCACTCATATATATTCAAATAATTTTTAAAAAAATGTTCATTTACCTGTTATTACCACACACCAAATCCAGTCGTTGGTACTTCCTGGCCACTAGGTAACAAAAGCTCAAAACTGCACCCTAGCATTCTGGAGCACTTCTGTTGTCTTTTGTACGTGTTTTGAGTTTTTATGTGCTTCTGAGTTTTTACGTGTTTTGGAGTTTTTACGTGTTTTGGAGTTTGTACGTGCTTTGTCTGTATGGGCCACTGTAAATATACTTTTATTTATTCACTCCACATAAAATGTAATAAATAAATAATATAATACAAAAAACAACTATTCACAGTTCAACTTTTAACTATTTAAATTTTCAGCTTTTTCCTTTAAAATTTTTAAAGTGAAAAAACACAAAACACTACAAACCACAACACAATTAAATATAAATTAAACTATGAAAACAAAAAGAAGATGCACATTCTCTGTCATATGGACCTGCATGAATAAACTTTCTGAATCCTTTATCATCTGCAACTGAAAACAGCTGTGGATGATTACTATACCTTTCTAATGTGACGTTGTTGTCCCTGGCTCTCTTTCTCTCTCCCTCCCGCTCTGTTCCTGTGCTACTGCGAGTGTAACTACCGCCCCTCCCCCCTCTGCTCAGCGCAAAGCAGAAGTGTCACTACCCGATCCGTACCGGATATGATATGGTAACATCGTGAGGTTGTATACTGTTGACCTAAAGTGAAATAATCCTGTGGAAACAGCAATTTTCACTTTTAGAGCATTTTGAAATCTTTAAAAGATTAGGTCGTATCTTGGCAATTTGAAAAGTCTTTTATTTTGGAAGGCATAATCAGAATGACTTGATATTGATATGGTATCACTGTGGGG